CAAGGGAAAAGATTCAATATTGACCATTCAAGCCTCAGTTCCAGCTGGTTTTAGTTCCGTGCTTGCCTATACTCTTAGCCCTTACCAGGGTGTATACGTAGATTTCTCTCCAAACCCAAACGTTTTAGTAAACTATGTGGTCTTAATGGATTTTCCAGATACCTACTGTATTAGCTGAACCTGATGAAAGATAAAAATTTGTCTAAATTATCATTTGCTGCCTTGCTCTTCTGTGACACTGATGGCTGCCGCGCATCACGAAGCCAAGTGGCAGCAAATGCTGCTGCTGTCACTGGCTGGGGATGTCCAGGAGAGGTGGCCTAACACTTGCGGTGGTAAGCAGGTTGCATCTCTAAACCAGACGTGAGGAGAGTTTCTTACTCATCTCTTCAAGTTCAGAGACCCATCTAAAACATAGTGGTGAGGCTGGCTCTCCGTCCCTCTGGGTTGGTGTCCATTAGGCACAACAAGTCTCTCAATGCCCTTCCTTAAATGTGGATAAACTACATTTATGCCACAGTGTGGTACATTCACAAGTGGACTGTGTGGATTTGAAAATCCATTTGTTGTACCTGAGGAAACTAATTGTTGCTTCGTGCTTCTCCCTGTCTCTGTGAGGAACAACCAAGTATTAGGAACAGTTTAAAACCTCATTGGAAGAGGTCCAAGGGTTTTCTGAGAATACTGTTTATGGTTTGTTTAAGGTTATCAATTATGTTTCAAATAAAAAGCTCTCTACAGATGATCATTGTGCTGTACTTTGAACTCATTTAACTGGACATTATTTACAGAATATTTATCTTGGTTATGGCAGTTTTTGTCACGCAGTGGTATTACTTTTCCATTATATACTGCATGTGACCACCACATAAGTTTGATAATAAATGTTGGGAAATAAAAAACAGAGTAAGTGCCTCAGTATGATAGCAATTCCCATGTGATGGGAAATAATGTCATAAACTTCAAATTACCTTTTAAATAAATGTTTACGTCCAATCCATCCATTAGATCATAGCCCGAAGGGTCAGGAGCATCATTTCTTCATATTTCACTGTATGCATTATGATTGCTTTTTTAGGTGTAAATGATGTTTTTAAATGAAGAATGGCACTCGAACTATACACAAACAACGGCTAGACATTACTGAGTCGCAGTACGGCAGAAATAGCCTCAGCCACTCGGCTAAATATAGAAGTGCAGCAGTAAATTGAATTCATTCTTAGAAAATATTTTTAATGGTGTACGTGCTGAGACGATACAGAAATACAGCTCATATCATTCTCACAGTTTGCAGCTTTGACATTTTAGTCAAGTTTAAATTCTAATTGTGGTTTTGGTAGATGGCTGATTTGCTAAATGCTTATGAGAGTAAAGATTTTGGAGAGCAGGGAAGAGCATACCTGAGCGTGCAGAGAAGTGTGCAGGTAACAGATACCATATTAATAAGGGTCTTAACCTTGTAAAGTGATGCCACCTGTGTAAGTGCCCAGGGATGGTGTTTCCCTGAGAGCACCCAGTGTGAAACACCCCACACGCTGAGACCCCGCTATTCCCAATGCCTTTTGTAGGAAGGGGACATTGCTGACCACCTCAAGGATGAAGCAAACCCAAATCCCACGTTTAGACCTTTCCCAGCTCTGAGCTGGACATCCCTAGTCCGTATGTCCTGGAGGAACCCATCTGGCTCCCCAAAACACCCCATGCATCAAAGCTTTTATATGTGGTGGTGTTAACGGTGTGATCCCTCCGGTGCTAGGCTAAAAACCCAACCGGGAGTGGAAATGGTTGGGCTAACAGGCAGGTGGCTTTGAAGAAGTAGAAGCTTTAGGTGCCCTCAGACTGCTGACATGCATGTGGGGATGGGGCAGGTTCCTCAGCCTGGGCTGGGCTGCCTGGGAGTGGGGGAAGGAAGAGCTGTCAAGGGCCGTTAGACCAATCTGGAAATAAATTCAACCAAAACCCGTCTGTTTACAGGCAGGGGAAAACCCATTGTCCTGGAGATTTAAAACAGCAGTCAAGAAATTCAGTGGTGTTTTTGCTGCAACTATGATTTGACCTTCCTGTTTACATTAAACAGTTTTTATGGTGGTGTGCACTGACATGGTTGCTTTGTTTAAGGTATTTGACAGTTACAGCAGTTCTGGGAATAATTGTTTTGGTTCTATATATGTCAGGAAATAAATATGTTAATGTTTGAGAGCAGTTTACTTTTTTTAAAACTTATTTACATTTGTTGTGTTTCTCAACTTTACCTTCTTTCATGAGGACTGTGGACGTGTTAAACAGTTTTAAAACAACATTGCTTAGTAACATATTAAATACTTTATGTCCAAAACATTCTTTTTAGTTGGAGGTTAATCTATTCCAGAACCGGTTGGCTATAACGTTGCTTCTTTTGTCATTATCGTTTGCATAAAAATGGTATATTAATTTCTTAGAGTTCACTTGATCCTGATTCTTTTTTGTTAGCAGAGGTCTATAATCCTTTCCACAGCAACCACTTGTAAAAGCAGAGGATTATGACTTGAGGCAGGATATGAGCAGCAGGAACAGATCAACTTAAAAACAAAGATCCTGTTTGAGTACAAATGCTATTGTTAGCACAGAGTTGGGGTGAGTCAAGTGGCAGGATGTCTATTAGAATATAATAAATTTGTATCTACACCACATGGCATGCTAGCCAGAAGAGACATCCTTTTAGCTGTTATGTGACAGACTACGTATTTTTATACCTTTACTTATAATACTTTTGCCTAGACCAATAAACCATTCCCTCTGAGAATGGCTGATATCTAAACATCTGAACAGCTTTTTTCAGTAGATTTATTTTTCTGTCTAAAAAGTTTCCACACTGTTATACTTTTCCCAAAATCTGCTAAAAGTAAGGATTTGAAATTACACTACTGCAAGGTCGTTCCGAGGTTAGCAATAACCATTTTGGACTATTGCTATCTTATGACGTGTGTGATCCTTCAGAGAAAAGGAGAAGGAGAGATTTTTTTCTTTGTCCCTATATTTAAAAAAAAGAGATACAATAACATTTTTTTCCTTTATTAAAAAGTCTTGGGTTTAATACTGATAGTTTAACTGACCTATCTAACACTACTGTATGTGGCTCAATTTAAAGTATTTTTGAAGTTTAATGTTTTTTCCTAATACTTTTCCTGTTACTGTCAGTAGGAAGTAATGAAGGTAAAAAGTTACGGAAAACATTCTAGTCAAGTGTGGAAAAAACCCTACTTTTTGTAAAAATTTGAAAAATTCTTACATGGCATGGACAAAATTAATAAAGATACAAAATGCAGTGATGGAGTCAGGTAGCAGTTTCACTTGGGACAGTCTGTACAGTTATTCCAATAACTCACACCACATACAAGGAGTAATCTGTGCTTCCCAAACTTCTGCTGACTGTATTTTTATGATGGACAACAAAATATATCCTGTTTATATATGATACGAATTTTGTCTCAGTGTATCTTAATTTGTACATGTGTGTATATATACATTTATAAAAAAAAAAGTATTACACACCATAAAATAGTGTAATTCCACATAAGCATCTGTAATGGCAAGTCAGCCAAAAGCTTTGGTAGAAGAAAATGTTTGGAGGGTTCTTTAATCACTGCCATGTGTTAGCAAGAGGAGAGTCAATATAACGGTTTCAGGAGGTTTGTCTGAATGGTTGCTACTGCATGGATTAGGATCCCTCTTCAGTGTCCTAAAGTTTGCAAGGTTAAAAGAAAAAACATAGTCTTAAAGTTATATTTCTAACTCCTATCTGAAAAGCAGATTTTATTGCACTTGATATTTGGAGGTTTTCAGATCATCCTGCTGATGGCACTTGGGCTGCAACTATATTATCAATGAATAAGAAAACAGAAGCCATGGCATTTCAACAGTATGAATTCTTCAGACTGTATTATTTTGTTAGCCTGAGGCAAGAGACTGTGCTCTTAGTACTCATCTGTGCAGAATGAGTAATCTGAGACAAATGTGTAACCACACCGTGTGTGCAATATGTCCAGATACTATGGACTAGCTGGTCTTGCTGTGCACCACAGGCAGCCAAGTATCTCTCATGGACAATAGACATATGTTGAAAAATGATAATTTTATTATACTGTCTGGGATTTCACCACACATATCTGATTCTAAAAGCATTATAACAATGGCGGTGTAACTGTGGGTCTGTTTGTCCCATCAGAGTCAGAATTTTATACTGTAAGGAGTTGGTTTTACCAGCAGGATTTTCCGTTACCTAACCAGAATTCTGTATTTTTGCATGATTTCTATGCATGGGAGCAACTGAAAATATGTATTCCCAGGGCAGTCTATTTCGGTGTTTTAACATGGCTTGCGTTAGCGTGTGTGATAGTTTGAATTTTCTTTCTTCGCCAAAGCTGCTTAAACAATACAATGACAGATTTCTGCTTTTATTCTTCATTAATGTCATTCTTCATCCTCTCTGCCCCACATCAGGGAGGAAGTGTTGTGAGTTTGCTATTTTAATGAAGAGAAATGAGGCATCTATCAACTAGGATTTATACTGGAGAGCACATCAATTCAGTTGCCTTGAGCTTGCTGAGTTTGCATATCCAGGGCCAAGCAGCGCTCTCAATTACTCCCGTGCAACCCCATTAACTTCAGGAGGTTGCGCAGTTCAAAAGTGGCTTCGCAGAATGCGGGGCGGTATCAGGGAGAAAAAAGGCTATCTGTTAGAGAAGTCAAGCTTCAAAATACTATTTTTTGGTTATCTAAAAGGAGATGTGCGTGCAGCCCTAATTACACTTTTGAAAGGTTAGGGTAGTCATCATATAGTAATTTCATTGAGTATTTCTTTGTAGATGTGCCTAACAGAACAGACCGCCTCCCAAAAATCACTGCAGTGAGGGGGAAAACACTTCCAGCCTGGAAACATATTGTAAATCATATGTCTTTAGTAGACTGTATCCTGTAATTACTCTTAACCGTAGGTTGTTTCTTCCTCTTTCTCTCTCCAGGAGCTATGCCGTCAGCGCATGGCAGTGAAAACATCTGATCGCCCGGAGCCCCTGCATGCTTCTCGAATAAATAGCGTTTCTTCACAATTTAGTGATGGGCCCATTCCCAGCCCCTCGGCCCGGAGCAGCACATCGTCCTGGTGCGAGGAGCCGGTTCAGTCCAACATGGACATCTCCACCGGTCACATGATCTTGGTAAGGCATTTTTGTCTCCGTGGCATGAGAAATTCCGTCAGAATTTAAGGTACCTGCTCTGCTTTTGGAAAGAGATAACTTTTAAAGAAAGGGAAGCTGTCTTTTCACAGGTAGAAAATATTCCTCAGCTTTGTTGGTAATCTTAGCTTTGTATAATTAAAACTAAAGGGGGGTTTATTTCCATTTCTTTTTTATTATATCGGGTTTTTTCCTCTCTGGGGAACATTCTTTTAGCTTGGAGATATGAATCGTTTATGTGCTTGCTTTAAAAAAGATAAACCCTGTGTTGTCCTTTTGTCCTATTGATTTATGTTTACCGCAGCTTGGACAACTGAAGAAAACTGCTAAATTTCTGATTGGCTTGCTGCTTTTTCTCATGTATCTTCAGTGTGTGGAGGTATCTGAGCTGAGAAGGCAACAGAATATTAGTGATGTGGAGCAATTTGTTTTCCGTTACCCTTAGAAAAGAAAAGGGATCTGAATTTTGAGCCTTGCCTGAATTTTGTTGTCCTTGGCTGAATTTTTTCCAAGCTGGATGTCTTCTATGTTTGAAATGATCCAAATATATTTTATTGATGGAGTCTGCATTGGGAAACTTGGGTTACTTCCAAACATGACTTGCGAGCAGTATCAGTGTCGAAGATGGACACATGAAGGTCTGTGTGTATGGAAGAGTCAGGGTCCAGTGGTTGGGCCTGGCTGCAGCTTGTTTGTCTCTCTCTGTTAGTGTCCTGCTGGGAGAGCTGTAGAGTGATCCCCCATTTTTTGTGCCTTATTTTTCCTCCTTCTTCAAATATTTGCCGTCTTTGTAGAGTGCATTGAAATTAGCTAAGAAGTTAGGTGATGTTGAAGATGATGAGTCAGGCGTTATTTTGCTTTCTATATTTGATTTCTGCTCTTTATTGGTATGGTTGATCTAAAGTAAGCACCCTTTCCAGTTGGTAGTGTTGCCGTGCTTTTGGAAACTTCCCTGTTGATCTATTTTACTCACCGCTGAGAAGACTCACCAGTGGGGTCTGTCAGAAGAAAACCTCTCCACCATGCCATACTTTTGGGTCATAATTTTTCAACTTCTTTGTCTCTTTTTCTGGACTTACATTTGAAAGTACTGTCTTCTCAGGTATTTCTCAAGTTCTTATAAGCCACCTCACATAATGGAGAAAGGAATGAAGGCAGGCAAAAAACAAAGACCTAATTTGACCTCAGCCAAGTTACTGACCTCCTTCAGCCTTGATCAGGTCAGCTATAAAACTGAGCAAAAGCAGGGCAGGATTGTAAACCAGATGCTTCATTGGAATATGTCATCCTGAGTAAATACTTCTTCCCCTGTCCCTGCCTATTCCCCCCCAAAAAGGAGTTGATTAAGTATTATGTTAAAATCTGGTATACAAGTGCAGTTTGGAAGGGTTGCTCCCATGACAGAAGATCATTTGTTGTAGTTTTTACTGTCCCACTTGTGCCTAACTAGAATTAAAATTCACTTGATTTCCTCTCATAGTTAACTAAAAGGCTTGGTGGAGAAAAGATTGTTTTCAATTGCCAAACCTCAAAATAAGTACAAATTCCTGTCTTAAGGTTCTAAGGCAATTTATTTGTATGGAAATAAGAGCAAAATTTCCTATGTAGATGGAAATATGAGTTTAACATTTGCAAACAATTTCAACTACTTTAAATTGAGCAAAAATTGTTTTCGGTTATATTATTGGGAAAAATAAAAAATCACAAAATCAAGCTTAAAGGAGAGAAAGTTGCATATGGGAACCACTTATTCTAGCTCTTGTAATTTCTGCAAAATTACAAGAAAGAATTGTCTTCATATGGTGATAAAAAAAACTTTAAAAAATAATCAGATTGGTCAGGATCACTGTTATGGTCTTCAGTGTCCGTAATTCACTCAATCCTCTTTAACCCTGATGATGAACGCATACATATGTTAGCTATCTATCAGCGTATGTTATATCTTAGATGGTGAGGGTTCAAAGAAGGGTAAAAGAAATGTTGTAGTGTCTTGAGAGTACAAGCCACACAGAGAGAGTAAAAATAGTTAATTTGTTTAGTCTAAACTGAATAAACAAAAATCAGTGATTCAGGGGAGTTTGCCTATGTGCTTTGAAATGCAGGATGGGGAAAAGTTGTTCTTAGTGGACATAGATGATACAATTAGGAAGAAAATATGGGTTAGAATCGAAAGGATACATTTAGCCTGGGTATCAGGGCAAGCCTAATAGGAGGGTCAGGCAGGCAGTGGGATGTTTACTTCAGGGAAGTAGTTAAACCGTAAATTCAAGATGTGCTGAAGGTTAGGTTTACATGGGAAGATCAGCATCGCTCAGCTACAGCACTGAAGCAGATGATTGGACTTGATCAGAAATGCTTGTGTTTTGTGTCACCGTGGGTCACGCTGAAACCAGAGAGCTGACCCAATTTATGTTTTGCTCAAAAATAAATGCACATATCTGTAATACCTTATTTGCCTGAATTTCTCTCCCTCTGGAGATGCGGTGGCTTGTTGGAGTTCAGCCACAGAAGAGCCTCACCAGAAGTGAGATTTTCCCCCCTTGCCCTGCAGCTACAAGTGGAGGAGGGTGAGGGGCCACTTCACAATTTTTATATCATTCAGTATAAGAAGTTTTCCAGTTCTTCCCTTTTCCTGCTGCCACGATCCTCTTATCTTTTAAATTTTGTAGATATTTTCCATGAAAAATATCTCAGAGCCTAAAAAAGCAATGAGAAATGTTAGCAAGGGGCCTGGTAAGAATGGCAAATACCATCTGCTTTGTAGGGTAGATGCACTTACAGGTCTGTAAACGTGTTTTGCAGCTCCACAGTGTGCAGCAAAGTAGCAGTTAGCTGAGCTAGGGCTCCTCAGTCTTTATTGTTCGTAGGTGCCAGAACCTCCCCAGAGAAAATTAAACAATGGATTACTGTATGAAGTGGCAGCAGGAAATATTTTATTTTGATTTATAAGCAGAATAAATCTTTAATGAAAGTAGCTTAGGAGAAATGTGTCTGCGGCTGCTGATTGACTCCATGTAATCTTGCTCAGAGGTAGTGTTGGTCAGAAGCATTTCTGTAAAGCTGTTTAATTTGCTGGAAAATGCTAGCAAGTCGTACCTGAAGTGATATCCCAGCCACCTCAGGTTTGGGTTTACTGGAGCTTGTGGTTGGGCACAGGTACTGTTTTCCTGGAGGACTTGCTACTTGTGGTTAGCCCATCGTTTATAGTAGTCGAGGTCTGGAGAAAGCAGGAATCTTCCAAACTCATGTGGCTGTGGGACGGTCTCCTCACTTAGACTGAAACCAGTCTTTCAGAGAGAAAAATGCTGCATTTCTGCCACTTTCCTCTACAGCGAAGACAATGTCTCCGCACTGCTGACAGTAGCATGAGATAGTTTGTACTGTTGGCAGGAGGAAGCCAGGAGGACTCAGGAGGCCCAGAAGGACAGCGATAACAACATTCAGAGCTTTTTTTTTTTTTGCTTTTCACTTTCTTTTTCCTCACATTTATAGCAGGAGGATGGCCCATATGGCACTTTTTGATTCTGTCTTTCTAAAAGATCCAAGCACTTTGGAAAGTGTAATTAGAGAGGCAAGTTTTATGCAGTCGCGTTTGTGGCACTGACTGGCTGGTTTTAGCATGAGCAACAACAAAGTGCCCTCATTTCAGTAACCGTTGGTTTTACAGCAAAACAATTGGGTTTTGGAAGGTCACAGCAAGGAAAAGAGTAGGAACTCAGAAATAGATTTTCATCCACTTCATTCACATATGTGCATCTGTATTTCAAGTGCTGAGAAGTCCTAATAAAGTGCAACGCTTCCCTTCGCAGTCCAGCAAGAGAACCGGGGGTGTTTGAAGGTGTCCAGGAGAGATTTAGTCTCCCTGACTTGGGCTCCTAACTTACACCTTCATTTTAGGCACTTAATGAAGTCCTGTCATTGACTTGAGTCCATAAGCTTCCCTTCTAGTTGGTGAAGTGAGTGGGTGGCTGGGAAGGTCTCCAGAGGATCGGGCAGAGAGATGGTATCTCTTGGGAGGCCTCCCGTTGTGCCTGCAGCGTCCCATTGACGTCTGCAGCTTAGATGAAGGAGTCTCTTTTGTTCGTGCTGAAGCACAAGTTTAGCACGTAAGTTAGGTAGATTGGACCCCACATCTGCTTGGTATCTTGCCACGCTTGTTTGGTTAAAATAATTATAATCTTTTATGAGTTTTTAAATGAAGAACAGTACTGCAAGAAGGGAGCGTATGCTTTTGATGATAACATTTTGAGGTTGTTATCTGAATACCGTATATGAGAGGGAATTTGCAGAAGCAGAAGTGATTTTCTGTGTTTTGGGGTTTTTTTTTCCTTGTAAAGACAGACGTGCAAAATTTGGAGCATTATACATAAATTAGAATTTCAGAAAGTGTGAATCTCCAAAATGTCCTCTTCAGTACTTGTTTAAGCTGGAAGTCTGAAGATTCTTTTCCCTGAGGGTATGAAGCTGGTGTATTGGGAAATAATAATAGCCTGTGATAGTTTGCACATACCATACTTTTCAGAAGGAAGTTTCATAACTGGGCTGAATGAGGCAGTGGGAGCAAATGAACTAGAGACTGAATTCTAACGCTTCACATGTAGGAGGTGTAAGTCCACTTGATCCCCCTTTTTTTTTTGGCAATTTGCCTGCAAAACCAAAAGGACTTTCCTCATAGAGAAGAGAAGGATAGCCTCATATGAAAACTTTGTGTTCAAAGAAGGTTCTGGGACAGTTTGTGTCCCAGAGGGTGAGCACCTGTGAGCATCTCCTGGGACACAACCTGAACTAAGGGGCACATGGGTCAGAGACGTGCTGCTGGGAAATCTGTCAAACTCAAGATGTTGAATTTTGCATCCAATTTAGTTCTGATGCTGAATCAGTGGCAGGGTTGCTGTGGGACTGAGAAGGGTAACAAGCAGGGAATAGTTTCCAAGGTTGAACCTGGTTTTTTTGATAACATTGGTATCCTGTAGTCTCTGCAT